CAAACTACTTTTATCGTCAATTTTCAGCTTCAACATTTTGCAAAAAGAAACCCAACAAGATCATCAAATTTTCACACATTGTAGTAAATTTAATGTAAACAGTAGACAGAATTTCACAAATCATTTCTTTGTTATATATCTTTAATGAAATCTATATGTTTTGCATGGGCAATCAATGACATGGTTATTATGTAATCGGAGAGAAGCGTGTTAAAACATCTTATACATTATATACCGGTGAAACACAATATTATGCAATTGTATGATGATATATATCTACGTATATATGTATCAGTCAGGGGCGAGGACATCTAGAAATACGATAAGGCTATCTGTTTTATATATTTAAGAATCTTTTGCTCTATCTTTGAAAAACGTGTAGAAAAATTACGTAAATACGTGAACAATTTTCAACTTTGGTTTTTTTATTTTTTTTCTATTGTAATATTGAATATTGGAAAACGTAACGGGCATTCTTCGCTTGTGTTTCCGATAAGAGTTTATAAATGTAATAGCAGTTATACAATGCATTAATTTTTGGCACGAACGCCAATGCATTAGCGAAATGTAGGAATGCTTCTTGTAATACTAAACTATTGTTTATTTAACCTATATTATAATTTCATATAATAACCTAGATATATTATGACTAACTACGAAAGCTGCCATGTATATTGGGGCTTAGGGTGCAGTTCCATTGAGGCGGAGCGGAGCAGAGCGGAGAAGAGCTGGCTTGGAATCCACATCTCTTCTCCGATGAAGCCATGTGATTGGTGAATAGCGGCACAGCTCTTCTCCGCTCCGCCTCAATGGAACTGCACCCTTAATCTAGACTTTGCGCTCTTTCGATTCTTGTCCACTCATTATCACTAGCACTTTTTACACAATTCAGAATCTTGTGTGTACCAATTAGTTTTTGTAACCCAATCGAGGCAAAGTCTGTGTGTTTTGAATAATTCATAAACTTCATGTATGTTCATGTGGAGTAGACGACCGAACTGGGTGGTTTAAGGCCTCGTCTACGTTTAAGCGGCGCGTTGTGCGGTGCGATGTGCGGTTCGTCATACATTGCTCATGATGTTCATACATTTGTGTTTGCACGGCCGTTGACACGATGTGATGCTGTAATGTACGACAAACGAAATACGCGCTGCGCAACGCCCCGCGTGTGCGTTAACGAGACTTAAGTCATTCAGAGTCTGACTTTCCTTCCACCACTAGCTTTACTTCTAATCATCACTTACACTTGTGAACTCTTGTCAAGTAATGGAAGTATAAACGAAAATGTCATTGAACCCGCTGAACAGAGTTGTATGTAAACTTGACAATTAAAACCATCTCACAGTAGATGCTCACTTTCATTTTCTACTAATTAAAAGTATTCGCCCACTGCAGACTGGAGCTATCATAACTGATGATAATTTGGCACTAATTACGAGCTGCAGATTACACGTCACGATCATATGGGTGTAATTATTTCTCTTTTAGACATACAATATAATGTTTCCTTATATTCGCTTTCTTTTGATTTGTTTTGTATTTCTATACGTTTCTATATTTCTGGAAGGTTTTGCACTGTTATACAGTACCTACTGCCTGCAATTACTTATTACAGCAACGCTTGTCGTGATTCTTTCGTGCAAATATTTTTAATTAAGAAGTTGCTGTATTATATTATTTCAACATCGAAACCTGTGTTTTTGTTTCCTAAAACTAGTACAACTGAACTAATTCAAATAAAAAAATCTATCTTACAAATTACGTACGACGAATATTTTTATGCCCTTACCGACCAATATACGCCCAAACTTACAATTTTCCTTACATTTTGCTTTGAAAACCGATATTTTAAACCCGTCACATGTTAATTAGTACAATTAAGTAGTCCATAACACCATTAGCTGAGCCAAAAACAGTACCAATTACTGTTACCACACTAATTGATGATTTGCTCTACACATTAGTGGCCGTTTGAAGACGATGTGCGGCCATATTTTTACACAGTTATTTTGAATTCGCAAAACAAAATGGCGCTTTTGATAATCTATTATCTCATTTTGTTGACATTTAATTTACTTATGGTATAAAGCCTTTATGGTTTTATTGCATTGTTCCTTTTGTTATCGTTTGTTTTACGCCATGAGTTACTTTCAAGATGTAGATAGATCAATAGGTACAATGAGGTAATCCTCGACGGCTTGAATAACATCGACCGGAATGTTCGGCCTCAAAGAAAACAAAACGTGAAAGACGCTTGTGTTAATGGTTACCGAAGGCCCGAAAGCCTAAACCTTTGACCTCCTAATCTCAAAACTTAATCTCAAAGGCCCAATCCTCCCAGTCAGTGGATTGCTCACGATCAAATGATTTTCCCTGCACGTTTGCAGCCATATTGCATACTAAAAGGTAAAAATTTACATTCTCCTTTTTTATAAATTCCTAAAATTGTATAAAAGTCAATTCAGACTCTTTTCTTATCCATAAAGTTGAAGAAGTCATTTAAAGAAACAGTAGGGAGGTAGGTTTTCTTACAGTAAAACCTTGCAAATGCACTTTAACGGGATTACCTGCGCAATGGACATAATAAAATAATCGATACCACTCCGGGAGACAATGAACGGCATTGACCAAATTTTAATGACTACTGAGGAATAAAGTATAATTTTTATTCATACAGTGTCTTTTACAAAGCAGCAGTCGCATCACCTGGTGGAAAGCAATGCGCGACGCCCTTGGACAGAAGCAAACACAAATGAAGTTAGAAGAGCGTTGCCGCCCTTTTGGCATTGTTAGAAACTTGAAGATTGGGTATTAGAAAAGGGATTTTTTTTTTTAGTGAGGGGAAAATCATCAAATGAGTTCTCCGGGCAGGAGGGAATGTTAGACTCTTATTGACTAAAAACCCCCCTGTTCCTTCTCCTGCTCTGGGCCGAGGTCGCAGTGCCTCATGATGTGATGACACAAACTAGCATTTTTTCGCACTAGTTTTCAATAAAGACGTGGTATCACTTCATTTGAGCTGGCCTCAGTGCCGGCCCGTAGCATACTTTGCCCAAAAGACCACTGAAGAATGAACTATATTTTTTTATTATGATAAGTTGCCAAACAAGCAGACGTATCAACTTTTGGTAAGCAGGCAGGAGTTTCAAGTGCTTGGCCACCCTTTTGAGGGCTAGGGATTTAAGTATTGGGTGATTAGAGAAATTAGAAGGGAAACACATGGGCTGAAGGCCTCATAATGAAAACAAAAATGTAAGTGTCTATATACGAAAATCATGTTAATCGTTTTTTTCAACTCTTGCGCATGTTGCTCTACTTTTTTATATTCCTGTCTCGTATATTTCATGGAAATGTGAATAAAAAAAAATTTAAGTTTGAACTTTTGTTCTTAAAAAAATAATCGTTGTTTAAAAATCCGTGTTTTCCGATCTAATGAATCAGTGATTTTTCGTAGGCATTTCTTGGAAGAATTGAAATTCGTGTGGGTTAATATTTTTCACTTGGCAATACATAACAAAAACATATATTATACTAAGTATCGAAAGATTAGTAACTAACATTTAGTTATTTATTCAAACGTGTATTTAGTAGGTTTGTAGTAAATAAAATTAGTATAACAGGAGTTAGCGTGACTTTAATTTTTAAATGCTATACTTACATATAACTATTGATAGTCACTGTATTTAAGAAATCACAAATCAATTATAGTAACAGTAGAGAGAGCAAATAAATACATAAATACAGAGTTCAATAACCATAATCGGTGCGCGGCTGCGCGTACGCATCCTTTGACGACACCGCCGCGCATGCGCGATAGCATTGTGTTTCGGAATTGGAGCATAAATGATACAAGCGTCGTGTCGTTCAAAACACAACTATTTATGGATTCCCACACAACGGGAAATAGAGTGGAGCTGCTTATCAACCGGATGAGTAATCGCCGGATTTTTTATAACTAGCGATAGAGGTATCCTGTATGATTACCCGGGATATCCATAAACCCCCAGAGATTGGGTAAAGTTTACAGATTTATGGATTTTAAGTGGATTTTACATTTACCTTTTATGTTTACTTAGCAAAGGCAGATAATATAATAGTATTAAGCCTAGCAATCTTATCAATACAGACTGAATAATCTGTTGTTTACCGATCCAATCTATAGTTCTATCATAAATATCTCGATCTATGGATTGAATAGGGCATCAAAATTAGGAATAAAATAAATAGTAATAAAAATCATAAATTCCAAATTTTGAAATGTTAAATATCTCCACAGATGTCACTAGCATCGCGGATATCTATTGGCAGTAGAAATAACCTGTCAAGTTATTCATTTGTACCGCAGACACATTGATATATTAGTTCTAAGATACTGGGATAAAATGAGGCATAGACTTCAAACAGTCCCTAGAGGCAAAGTGTTTATAAACATAACGCTGTTACTAATAGTTATGACAATGATAGCCATGTTTTAATGAAGAGGGGTATAAGTTCTTTGTTTCCATTATTTTATGGTTAAGTGTAACGACGTGTTCATTCGATCATCATGTGCCCTAAACAGTTATTGGAAGAATAAGTTAAATTCTTTGTGTTGATAATTTTGTAAATGAGAAATAATAAGAAAACAGAATACGCGAACATACCCCCGACAAAATCCGGTCATTGTTCATGCCAGGAATGTACCAAAGGATAATATTAATATATATGAAGGCACCGGGGGGTTGGTACAAACATCAACAACCCGATCATCGTTTTCACAGTCCATTGCAGGGCGTAGGATTTTATAATCAGACCGAATAAATTACAAAAATAACGGACGTCGGCGATCCGTCTCCTATGACAGTCACAGCGCTCGCTCTCCACCATATTGCGCACGCAGAACTGCCAGTTTGACGTTCCGCCAGAGTACGATTTATGGTACCCTCGTCCGATGAATTGTGATAAAACCTCCTTCAAAATTCAATTTAAATAATCGACGCTCCGACATATATATTCCTTACCTTTTATATCCACGGAGCTAAAGCAAACGATTGTAAGACATCAATACCTGTAACAAAAAATATTATAAATAAATAATTGTTAATCTAGCAGTCGTAATTGTGTTCCCTTACTTTAACGTTTTAAAGTATCTGTGTATAGTTTTATTCGCCAAACCATAAGCAAAAGCCGGCGTTCACACTTCTATTGCATCACTTTTTATAATAATTATCTTATTTTATTCATTATTAATTTTAAGTTTATGCACCGATTAGTATCAATGTTAGTTGTCGGCTATCGCTGAAAATCAGCGCAACGACACTGTCTCGCATAATGTCGCTGCATATGCTGAGCGAGGGCCATTTCGTGTGCTTCCCTCACTTTAACGTTTCAAAAGTATCTGTTTATAGTTTTATTCGCCAAACCATAAGCGGAAGCCGGCGTTCGCACTTCTAGTGCATCACTTTTTATATCTTATTTTATTTATTATTAATTTTAGGTTTATGCACCGATTGGTATCAAATGTTAGTTGTCGTGCTGGCCCGGAGGTTAAGGAGTCCGCTTCTCATGCATGAGGGTGTGGGTTCGAAACCTGGCAAGTACCAATGTGACTTTTTCCAAGTTATATGTACTTTCTATGATTATTTAGGCACCACTGACATACGGTGAAGGTAAACATCGTGAGGAAACCTGGACATATAATTTCTAATTATAAGTTTGAAATCGCCAACCCGCATTGAGCAAGCGTGGTGATTAATGCTCTAACCTTCTTCGTATGAGAAGAGGTCTTTGCTCAGCAGTGGGCACTTATAGACTGATGATGATGATGATGTTAGTTGTCAGCCATTGCTGAAAATCAGCGCTGCGACACTGTCTCGCATAGTGTCGCTGCATATGCTGAGCGAGGGCCATTTCGTGTGCTTGTGACGCATATTTTTCCCTATATAGGTATTACCTACTCTTTTTTATATTGTATAACCATGCCTTTTTTGTTTCACGTTTATACACTTCTTTGTTTTTGTATCTTATGTGCGTCCTAGACGCGAATAATTACTTTTTCTTTCTTTATTTCAATTGTGTCTCGAATTACCACGATCGAAAGGTTAATTGGAATGACTACTTAATATGAGTTGGAGTTATTAAAATCGTTTTGACTTTGATTCGTATTAAATCGTCTCGTGAACCCATGACAATAATATCTGAAAGATGTTTTTAAAGTTTTTAAATCGACTTGATATGACGTCTCTAAAAGTTTTCTTGCTAAAGTCTCTTGCAAAGACAAAGGTGGACATCATAATATGATTCCAAAATGCCATTTCAATTTGCAGGGGGGTAACCATGACATTCAAAGTAAGACTGTTTTAATCTTACTTCAGTGTGGGTAAGAGAAAGAGCTATACAAGTTGTCTAGCTCTGTCTCTTACTCACACTGAAAGAAAAACAATCTTGCTTTGGACGTGATGGTTAGCCCCCAGATATTTATTGGCTAACTTCAAAGTCAATATACTATTAGTAGGCTTACACCTCAAGGTAATTCTAATCCATAACTTATTTCAAAAATTGTATGAGAGTCTTCACATAGTAAATTTGTATATTATTATCTATCGCTCTTATAAACATATCATTCGACTATCATATTGCACAATAATTTTCCTTTACCAAGTAAATGTGAAGAACAATGATTCATTACTAATATTATATTGAAACTAATTGTTCCTTTTAATACTTAAACATATTGTTTAGTCATAATTATTTTAAAACCATGGAAGACCCTCGTCCGATAATTTAAAATCAAGTATGAATTATCTTTTAATAGTAGCTAGCTATAAACCACTTTATAGTCACAAGATATAAATAGGTATTATTCAAAACTATTAACACGATCTGAAAATTCTTGATCCGTAAGAAATAACTCAAGCGGAAAATGGCAATGAAATAAAAATCCAAGTACCTACAATTAAAACGATAGAAATAACACAAGTAAATAAAATCTCGGACATAAATTCTCACATTTCTCACTTACAAAATTCAATAACAAAATGTTCAAATTCAAATTTTTACAAATGACATTCCAAAAAGAATTTCTTATTGATATCCTCGTGCGATTCACTCAAGTCATTTAAGAGAAAGAGTAGACTTGAGACATACAGCGAAAGTCAGTAAACGCTATCTAATCCACGATAACTGTTTACAAGGCACTTACCGCGTAAAATTTCACTTACTTGCCGATGACAATGTCAGGGATTTTACCAGCATTGTGTGAGAATAAAGGTCTTTGCAGACGGACGGGGCTAAGCGCGCGATTCGTCGCCATCTTGTGACATTGTGACAGCGTAGCAACTGCTTGGAAAATGTCACGTGACTCAGCGATCTGACGTGCGAAGCTTTAGCTAGCATTTAGAATTCTCCTGTTTATAAATATATACGAACTTATTTACGACTGTAATTAGTATACTTAACATACACTTGTTTTTTATTTACCGACTTTTCAGTAGTATAAGTTTTTTTCAGCAAAATAAACAACATAATATATATTAAGTAGCTTTGTGATAGGCAATAAAATAATATAGATAGGTCAAAAAAATTTCGATCTCATCGTCTATTTGCATGGATTCTTAGGCCAAAATACAGTAAATAAAGCGTAATTTAGTGGTCTACCATTCCTTGTAGATTAGGTAAATGATAGATGACTAGATGTCGTGTATTTGTCTGTGGGTGCCTTTACAATATATTATCTCACGTAGACCGGCAGATATTATCTAAGACTCAACTAATATTACCGACGTTACACTCAAACAGAAGTTTGGTGACGTTTATTTGTGCAAAGTAAGGTGATAGCGCAAAACGGTATAGATAGCGTGAAAGATAGAATATGTCGGAAAGCCAAAAACAAAGTAAATTATTGTGAATATAATGAATGATTGGTAAAATCCGTGTATTTTAATAATATATTACTCACACTTAACTATTAGGATATTATGCTTTAGAGGTACCTGATCGCTATAATATTTAACACAAAAAATAAAAAACATTTTCTATATACCTAAGTGATCGATTGGAAAGTCAGCCAGAGTCATGTCTCTCTTAATTCAAATGAAAATGTGTTAATACAGATTTCGTCCTGTAGCACCTTAGGACAAGAATAACAAGATCCTCAATGTAGAAATAAAGTTTAAACTGGAATATCATTCCATTTCTTCTCTATGACACATTCGCATACTATTGAAGCATTGAGCATAATTCCACTGAATCATTCATTTATTTAAATGACAACGAACGAACATTGTCCTACTGAATGAACTAAATTATGAGCGGTTCCTGGTATCATTTGCGCAGTATCTCCAATTAGACACGGGGATTTATGTTCCCTGCTTTTATTGGAATACATTACACATCCGTGATATTATTTTGTTCATAAGTCATCGTTTATATTCAGAAGCTAAACGTAAAATTACCCGCGAAAATTTAGTTTGACATCTAGTCAATAAGGCTTATGATGAAACCTTCTTGGTTGATCGAGTTTCTCTAGAATTTGTCTATAGAATCAGTAGGCGTACATCATACCAATTAGGTACTTTATTCATAATAATACAAGTTATTTATGTACCTATAAAGTCGCCTCACTGATCTAAAATTAAGAATGAATCATTCAAGTATTTAACGGATTTTAACGGTTTTCTTTGTGAAGACACCAACAAAAAACGTTGGGTAAAGTAATACATATTCCATTAAGTATACAATAAGAACAATTGTAAGATTTATTTTTGTAGTTCGATTCAGAATTTTATTATACATCTAGGTACGTTAAGGTAAATATTTACTCGAAATAAATACTCGATTCTAAACCTATCGTTGACTCTTTAATTCGCATAAAATTAGCATAGCCAAATGATGAATTTATTGATTTGCATAAGGAAACGACTTATTTCTTTTCGTTGCTTTTGTCTTTAACCAATTCTTATCAATTGTGAACAAATGTCACGTAGAAGCAATGTAATCAGCTTTGCTCATGGAGAATTAAATCGATTATTCACACCTCAAGTTACTTCCGACTAACTAGTAACAGGCTGCATAGAAATGTGGATTACGCATTAAAATTTTAAATAAATCCGATATCTATTCTAAATTCAAACATGGCAGTTAAACAACACTAGTTTGGCGGGAAAATTAGATAACAGCTTACATTATTTATTACTCGTATCACAGTGAATAATGTTTACTGATATAATCAATACTGTTCGGTAAAAATATTCATGCAGTAATTAACATCATTAACAAAAACTGATTTATGGTTTTCATCAGCACGCTATAAAACACAAAATAACAATTTACGACAATTACATTTAGGTGATTGTCAAAATAATTTTAATGTCGGAGGTCGAACATTTTTTGTTATAAGATACTTTAATTTAATTTAATCGATGGTGTTTACAACTTAAAACAATTGTTATTGTTAAGAGCAGGTATAAACAATAACAACTCAGATGAGCAAAATAATGCGTCTAAAATTACTTAACCCAAATTTCGCCAAGATGGCTGTCTTTAAACACAAATTTTAACATTGTTCTCGTAACACAGTAACACTGGGAAATGTTTGACCGGCTTTTTGAATGCTTTTAAAAGTCTTCCGTTAATTGCTGACAACCTCAAAACCATTTTTTAACAACAAACTTTACTTAATTTCCAGATGTACTTATTTATGGTGATCAACCTTAAAATTATGCCAAAAAGGTCTGATTCAAAATACATAAGTAGTAGATATACAACCTTTTTTCATCGACCTTTTTATTACCTAAAAGGGACATTACGATACAAAGCATGTCGATAGATGTTAAAGTGACGTAATAAAATCAGTCTATCTAATTTGTATGCATAGTGCACATTTCCCGTTGTACAACCAAAGCCGAAAACGTACCTAGTCATTACATAAGAGCAGACAGTGAGAAAGCGTGGCAAACTTGTCAGTTTTACGACTATCATAAGTTCATAACTAGCAGTTGTTGTTGATACGGAAATACGTGTTTAGTTTATTTATATATTTTGTTGTTTAAATGCGTGCTGTTGACAGTA